TATCTTCAAAACTGATGGAGATGGCATTGAAATGTGGCTTCAGTAACATAAGATACCTTTGGTCACTCAATCATGGGCTGTCATCATTGGGTGCTTTGTTCATATTGTCTATGCACCACCTACAAGCCTCGTGCTTGAGGCCAGCAGATGTCTTGGGCCTGGAGTGACAGATGGTTGTGAGCTGCCATGTGGGTACTGAGAACAGAACCCAAGTCTTCCCGAAGAGTGACCATCAGTCTCTCCAGTCCAAAGCATTAATACTTGAATGTAGTTTTTCCTACATCCCTGTTCACGTTAGCTGTTATGGCAGTTAGTTGAGTTTTTCATTTCTAACGTTTCCAAGTCCATGTCTGCACACATGCTTGCTCCAAAGGGTTCCGATTGCCCCTTTGTACTATCAGGTTGGCTGGTCTGTACAGTTTCTAAGGATTCTCTTGTCTACACCCATCTCCCCACAGGAGTGCTGGGACTGTAGATGTGAACCAGCACACCCAGCTTCTACATGAGTTCTTGAACTTGGATCCTTATGCTTACACGGCAGACCATTTACTTAAATCTGCTTTCAAACATTTTTTTCCAGCCATATTGCTCTCCTTGGTTACTGATTTTTCTCAGACTTAAACACAACTTTTTAAATGACGCATTTAGAAGTGTATACATGCATTTCATGATACATGTCCTTCCCACCATAAGGGTTATATGCAGGAGCAGACATGTGACTATGAAGAAAATGTTTCTTCTTCCCCCAGCAACCATTATTGTCCACTTGGCCTCAGGAAGGGGTAAAATCGTGTGAGCCCCTTTCAACAGGTTGAGGTGTAATGACCATGTCTTACCTGATTAGTTAAACCACATCACTGATAGAGTAGAAAACAGCAATACTGTAATTTGTTATTAAATTTAGGGTAAAGTGGAAATACAGGAAAAAACAAGTACAGGGGAAAATTTAACTTAAATTTTTTATTCATTTCACATACCAACCAGTTCCCCTTCCCTCCCCCACCAGAAAGGAGTCAACAGAGATAGGCACATCAATTTGAGGCAGGACCAAGCCCCTGCATGGAGGCTGAGCAAGGTATCCCACCATAGGGAATGGGCTCCAAAAAACCCAGCTCATGCAAGAGGGGAAAAATGTCCAAAAAAAAAAAAAAAATGAAAGAATGAAAAGTAAAAGCATGAGGTTTCTTATGTTGGACTAAAAAAAAAAGTATTACATTGAAAAAGCAGGGCGGTGGCACACGCCTTTAATCCTAGCACTGAGGCAGATGGATCTGAGTTCCAGGACAGCCAGGCCATCATTGTGGGGGCGGCAGGACCCACGAGAACGGAGAATAAGGAGTTTAGTGTCCTAGTGCTAAATTCACCTCCCTTTCGAAGGAAGGACCACCTGTTCAGCGACTCTAAACTGCAGACAGTAAAGCCATGACAGGTAAAGCCATGCTGGTGTTGAGCCTGTCCTGGACAAGTGTCCATGCCCACCAGAGTGGTCTTCACTTCAGGGCTTGCCACAACAGTTGGAGTTTGCTGGCTCTGGTGCAATAGTGTGACTCCAGGGGCAAACCCCCCTAACACAGACTGCCCCAGGGTCACCAAGCTTACATTCGGGTGAGGTGCTGGGGAACTGTGGTCCCAGCTGTGCTTGAGGGGACTCTTGTGGTATGTCAGTCACTTTGTCATACATAAGTTTAGATGGCAAGTCTCAAATAACCAACTGAAAACTCATCCAACTTAGAGGTGCTTATACCCATTTAGTGTAGAACCGTAAACTTAGACCACACAGAAATATAAGGCCACGCTCCCTGTGAATCCTCCAGCCCAGGTCTCTGCCATTATAGTTGTGTTTTCTTAGTGATGGTCTCTTTATTCTATAAGTTTCCCCACCCCAGCCAGTCAGGCCCTAAAATTTTCCTATCCATCTTGAGCAGACTCACAGGTATCACTGCCTAAGGTTTTAGGCCACTGGGATTACCATCCCAAATAATTGTCTGGGACCATCTTGTGTTTCTTAAACCACACATCTCTTAAGTTGCAGTCTCTTACGACTCGACCTTGGTCAACCCTGGTAAGTCTAATGCAATGTCTGTAATAACCACCCATTACCCTATAAAGAAACTCGTGCCCTGGACCATCCCATGTTCCTGCAGCCTTCTGCTCCCTGAGTTGTCCAGCCCAGGTGTCTTTAAGTGCTGTGCTGGTACATGTTGTAGTGGTACCAGTTCTTCTGGACAAATGAGTCCACTGTGTGGCTAGTAGTATCAGAAGGGTTTGCTGTTTTTTAGGTTATAATCTGCAGTGTCTGCTCAGTACAGCCACACATTTAAATAGATTCACCTATCATTCGTCTCCGCTGCTTCTGTACCTTTGTAACAATATTGGGAACTGATGGCTTAGTCTTTGGACACATTTTCTGCTTAACTAGAAAAGCAAGGAAGAACCAATTTAATTAAATGCCTTTCTTTTAAGCACTCACTGAAAATGACAGAGACAGCCAGTCACCATTGAAGAATCCTCTGTTGTCAACATCAAGACCCCTGGTATTAGGCAAACCCAATGGCAAGTATCTGTTCTCACCATCTGCTCCTAGCAGCCTGTCCCCTCTCCCTCACATTACCACTTAACCACGGCCCTCTGCTGCTTTGATTTTTCTAAGGTTCTTTGAAGGGGCAGACCCAAGATGAATAGGTATCAGTAAATAACCACTAAGGTCTCCCTGCTCTACAAGATGCAGTATCTGTCCTGCTGATGCTCTCTGCAACCCAAGAGAATGTGAGACAATCCCTCCTCTACCTTATAATGGGGCCAGGTCTGCACCTGACACCACACACTAAGGGTGTGGCCACCCTAAAAGCTCATAGGCAAGGCCAGAGGCCACCCCAGTTCTTACCAGGAAGGTCCTAGGACAGGAGTTGTGTACAAACTATAATCCTGCCTTGGGGCCCCACTCCTTACTGTGCCAATTTTATTGCTTTAACAGAATTTTAACCGTTTCTTCCTTTGTCAAGGTGACACAATTGATTATCAGAAACAACTAAAACAGATGATTAAGGATTTAGCCAAAGAAAAGGATAAAACGGAGAAAGAGCTGCCCAAAATGAGTCAGGTAAGGACTTCCTTTGGGAAGAAAGCAAACCACTTTGCACAGACTTCCCAAGTAGTCACCTCTTCAAAACAGGAGTCTGGCTGGGTGTTGATGGTGCGCACACACCTTTAATCCCACCACTCGGGAGGCAGAGGCAGGCAGATCTGAGTTCGAGGCCAGCCTGGTCTACAGAGCTAGTTCCAGAACAGGTTCCATCCAAAGCAATACAGCAAAACCCTGTCTTGAAAAACAACAACAAAAAAATACTGGAGCCTGCAAAATGTTTAACTCTCTACCCTGTCACCATTTTGCAGAAAAGGGTTAATTAAGTGCTATGTGATGGCAGGTTTAATATGTGAGAAACGAACACTTAAAGTTAGGAGAATGCTCCTATAGAAGATGGCAGCATTTTCCCCTGCCATGTACTAGGGGGCTTTAGGACTGTTTGTGCATGAAGGTGTCCTCTACCTTCCTTCAAGTCTCTCACTGAGCCTCAAGCTAAGTAAACTTCCTGTTCCTTACATGTGATAGCTAACTCACCCAGAACTGCCTTTGCTATTTTAAAAATACCAAATACACCTGGTCTTGAAAGGTTTCCCTATTCTATCCCTCCACAATGTTCAACGCAAAGTAAACAGTGAGTTACAGAGCTACCTTATTTTGTCTTCAATTGTGGGCGCTTCATCCAAGCCTCTGAATGTTGTCACAGCAGTTTTTTTGTAGCCTCCGGGTGCCGTGACCTCCACCTCCTGGAGCCCTGGGTTTAAAGGTGTGCACCACATGCTTTCTCCACTAAAAAGCAACCGTAGCTCTGATTTCTTTGAGAAATGCAGGAACAAGGATTGCATGTACCAAGGTGGCTGACATCTCTCACTGATTCACAAGCAACACAACCTAGCTTTTCATACATTCTGCACGTGGAACCAGGAACTAGCAGTAGACTCCAGTGTCTGTTGGTGAGACAGGAAAATAAGTTGCAGGACAGTTCTAAAACAGTGAGCTTTTTCCATACAAAAAAATAAATACCTTTTTTCTTTTCGTTCTAGAGAGAGTTTATCCAGTTCTGCAAAACTTTGTACAGTATGTTCCATGAAGATCCGGAGGAAAACGACCTGTACCAAGCCATCGCCACAGTCACCACCCTGCTACTGCAGATAGGGGAGGTGGGCCAGCGGAGCAGCAGCTCAGGAAGCTGCTCCCACGAATGTGGTGAGGAGCTCCAGGCCGCCGCTCCCTCTCCAGAACAGGACTCGGTTTTTGCTGAGACTGGGAATACTCCCCGGGACCCCCGGGCCTTTCCTGAGGCAGCTGAAGGGGACTGGACTGTGTCCCTGGAACATATCCTGGCCTCGCTTCTCACTGAGCAGTCCCTGGTAAACTTTTTTGAAAAGCCACTCAACATTAAATCCAAACTTGAAAATGCCAAGCTCAACCAGTACAGTCTCAAAGCTTTGGACATGAGCCACCCGTCACAGCCAGAACTGAAGCTGAATAACCTTAGCTAAGAGTTTGCTGGGAACACTGGAGCTCACCACACCAAAGCAAGGCCTGGACTGTTGCCAGTCTACACAAACAGGGATCTGCAAGCTGAGTGCAGGCAACACACCTCAGAGCCCATGCGGGGGGAAACTGTCTGTCCTCTTAGGAATACATGGAACGCAGTTACAGCAGTCAAGGTGTCATGGAATGTCCTTTACACTGTGACCACCAACCCCGCTGAAACCACTGTTCTGGCTGAGATCCTGGTGTGAGCACTCTTTGATGGGACAGAAAGATGTCACAGCACCCGAGAACATCACACCCCAGGCTCATTCTCCACTGATAACAGGAGCGGTCAAGAAACAAGCTCACCTCTAAGATCCCAGAACCTTTGTCTGCACAAGTGTATTCGGCTTTTTTTGCACTAATTTTGTTTCAATGCTGGTAATTGAAACCATTTTAATATATTTCGTTGTATTCACTTTGTATGTCCTTCCAAAAACATGTATAAACCATGCTTTCAATGTTGGCCCCCAAGGTTTTTAATAAAAATCTGTCTTTTGTACCGACTTCTAAACAAACAAAACCCCACGAAACAGCTGCACCAAGGAGGCAGGCGTGTGTCTATGTTGCATTCTAGGCCAGCCTGGTCTATAGAGCAACTGTCTCAAAAACCAAACGCTGTCCTAAGAGTAGCATATTCCAGGGCAGGGAATGGACTCAATGGCTAGATGGCCAAGGCTAACAACACAAGTTCAATTCCCAGGACCCAGACAACACAACCTCAACCTTCACCTCACATACACCCGGAACTAAAATGAACCTAACACTGTGGCTTCTTAAAAGACAACAAGCTAGGCATCGCAGTGCATGCCTTTAGTTCCCATCTTGGGAGGTAGAGGTGCATGGATCTGGGAGTTCCTGGGCAGCCAGGGCAGCACAGAAATCCGCAGAGGTTCTTAAACCACTCCCAACAATAACCCTCACGTGTGTCCTACCCTAAACAGCACCAAACACCTCCACCAGTGAGTGAGGAGTGGGGCAGACAAAAGGAAGCCAGACCCTGAGCGCAGTCAGCTCTCAACTTTATTTGACATTCAGCAGGTTAGTTCTCATCCACGTTGACAGTCTGTAGATCTGGAAGGAAGAAGAGAGAGCCAACCAGTCAACACCCACAGCTGACCCCATCTTCTAGAGCACCCATACAAGACTCTGATGTCGTAGGAACCTCTTCACTACTTTGCATTGTTAATAAAGGCCTCACAGTTTTGCCTGCCACTCATCTCACTGAACAAGAGAAACAGTTTCTGCTGTAATTTCAGCAGCTCTGTGGAACAGTATGGAACTTACTTTTGAATGTGGTAACAGGCACGTAGGTTACCAATGTATACAGCTTGTTCGGGGAGTCCTCATCCTCATTACGTTTTCTGGACAAACGTACACGGATACGGTACGGAACATTCCTAATAGAACAGAAATGTGTTGCTAAGGTCAATGCTTCCTGTCAGAAACCAGCTACCAGTGTTACTCACATGTCTATTCCTGCTTCCAGTACTCTGATGAACAAGCTTTTATCTGACCTTGGAAATATTCCAGGTGAATGAGCAACAAGCTGCCACCTCAAGATGTATTGCTTGTTAGGATACATGAAGGCAGCCACCAACAGAAATAAGCATTAATTCAAGTAAAAGGTGCACACAACCCCCTTCAGAAGAACTGTAGTTAATTTCTCCCTTCCTCATCCTCTCAGGAGGGCTAGGTGTTCGGACAAACAAGGCAGAGGCTGTGGTTCCTTGTTGGATAATGGGATACACAGCCATACTTTGGCAGAGCAGGAATATATATATAAAACCAGTTGCAACACCCCTCCCATCATTCATCCTTCTATTCACTTCACATCTCAGCTTTATTTACATCAGGGTTGGATACACCTGTGCAGAACCCTCTCAAGCAGGAAGATGCCTCCCCCAGCACCTCAGGCTCACAAACACAGCTTCCTCTGAGTTTCTCACTCCCAATCGAGCTCTCCCTGATCCCATCAAGCTCTAACATGTCTCTCTCCTTTACTTACAAAAAAGGACATTAACTTAGAGTCATTGTCCTAGTATCTTTATTTTGTCTTTTTATCCCCCCGGAGCTGAGGACTGAAACCCAGGGCCTTGCGCTTATTAGGCAAGTGCTCTACCACTGAGCTAAACCCCCAACCCTGTCTTAGTATCTTTATACTCCACATTTGGTAACCAAACTACCAACTCTGTCACGTGCACTATGCAAAAGAACAAGCCGGTGTCATTGTTAACAAATTAATTCTAGTACCTTATTCCTTTGGCCCAGACGGCTTTATTGAGCCTGGTATCAATGCGAACGTCTGGGGTCCCCATCTCCTTCATTGCAAATTTCCGGATTTCTTTGAGTGCCCGAGGAGCACGCTTCTTGAAGCCCCTGAGGTTCAAAGCAAGGACAGACACACAAATCAAATCACACATTATATATAAATGCATGCACTCATAAACTACTCAGAAACACACCCCTCCCTTAAAAGCATGGAATGCCCAGCAACATGCATCAGTACTTGGAACAAGATGCTGAAGTAAATGTCAAGTATCGTACGATCCAACCCTATTCACACACTTGGCCTACTCTCACAGCTGTCCTGAAATGCTGGGGAGTGGCGATGGCTCAGTGGGTAAGTGTACTCATGCTAGCAGAGGACTCAGGTTTGGCCCCCAACATCCATGTGGTGCACACACAGACATGCACACAAAACTGTGCACAGAGGAAGACAACACTGTGCTCCTCCAATCCTAGTGCCCAGAAGGCAAAGGCAAGGTGGCTCCCCGGGGTTCAAGGCCAGCCTGGACTACATAGCTAGTTCCAGGACAGCTAGGGCTACATAAAAGGGAGCCTGTCTTTACAAACAAAGTAAATCAATCCCTAATTTTTAGAGCATGGTGAAGTTACACACCAGTAACCGCCACACTGGAAGCTGGACAGGAAGACCCCAACTCCAAAACCAACCACAAAAGCCCAGGAGTGTCCACCACCTGTCAGTCAGCCAAGGTCACCCTCAGCAAGACAAAAAGCACCCCCCTCTATTCCTCCTCCCCCCCACCCTTCATCAGCCTGCCTGTAATCCCAAAGCAAGCCCACTTCACAATCCATCTTGGAAAAGGTTAGAAACAGCAGCAGCTCGTCCTGTGAACCCCGTGCGCGCAAGCAATCCATCAGGTGTCCTCAATTACACACCAGGAAAGAGACCGCGCACTGAGCAACTCCAGTACTGTGCTTCGGTAATGGAAACAAGACGCTGCTGTCACCAATCAATCTATTATCAGTGAGACTGGATCTGGGCCGGCAGAGCCAACATTGGGCCCAATTACCAATGAATTGGAGACGGCCAGGAGAGGAAAACACCAAGGGAGCAAATTTGATTTGGAAAACAACGGGGACCCGGATTATCACCGAAGGATGGAGGCTGGAGATGCTCACACCAAAGTTCAAAATGCCTGAAAAGCACGCCCACCACAGCGTATACTTCTACAACGCTCTACGCAAGGCTTTGAAAGATCACCCTGTCACCACACCCTCACACACGCCGCGCTTAAAAAGCAAGCAAGCAAACAAACAAAACAACCTGCAACTCAGTATTTTCGCCTCCACCCCCCAACGCGGTCAAGTTGGGAGGGCAGGGTTCCAAACTTTCTCACCTAGGTGAGCAGCTCAAAGCAGTGCCCGACCTGCCCGGACCACAGAGGACGGGATGCGGCACGCTGGCGTCGCAACATGCGTGCGCCTAAGTCACAGAGCACGCGCCCCGAACCATTCCCTGCCAACCGCCCCTCTACAAATGCACAATCGCCACGGGCTCTCAGCGCACGCTGCCCGGTAAGCCTTGGTGACCTCACCAGCGCCATGCAGCTCCGGGCGTTACAACTCGGCCCGCAACGCGACAAATCAAAAGCCCTCCTCACTTCTGGGTCCCAGCACTGCACCGCGCACCCTGCAAGCGCACCCTGCACGCGCACCCTGCACCGCGCACCCTGCAAGCGCACGCAGAACGACAGCGGCCGCCCGGTACTCACACGCCATGGATGCGCTTGTGGATGTTGATGGTGTACTCCCGGGTCACCACCTCGTTGATGGCAGAACGGCCCTTCTTCTTCTCGCCACCCTTCTTCGCGGGAGCCATCTAGAAACGCAGGCGACGGGCAGGCTCAGGGTGCAGCCGGGGCGGCCCCGCTCCGCCCTCCCTCGGCCCCAGCGCCCCCAGGCCTCCGGCCGCCGTGGTCCAGACCCTCGCAAGCCGCGCCCGGCGAGGATGGAGCCGGATTCCAGGGCCACCACCCCGCCGCCATACTCACCCTGCCGGGGCCCAAACGGGAAAGGAAGTGCGCGAGGGCTTGTGGGAAGGAAAGCAGGGTCGCAAGCGCGACTTCCGGGTCGGGAGGCGGGGAACAGGAAGCCCGAGGGAGGATGGATGGATGGGGGTGGGTGGACGTGGCGCGTCGGGGGCGGGGCCTGGGATGGGCGGGGCCTGGGGTGGGCGGGGCTGCCAGTCCCCGGAGAGCTCCAGCGCCCGGGAAGAAGGCGCTCTGCTGCATTCCTGGCTCACCCACTCATCCGTTTTAAACTTACCGGATCTGTTAGGCGATGGATGTGCTAGGCAGAAGGCACCAGAGACCGTAACCGAGGAGAAGGTCCGAGTAACCGAACCCAAGCTGAAAGACCCCCACTGTGCTTATTGCCTGTTTGAATTGCTCTTGCTAATTTGCCAAGGTCAAGTTATGGGAACCAGGTGCTGCTCTCATCCAACGCCAACCAGATACCTGTGGTCTGCAGCTTGGACCAAAGCAAGGTCAGCAAGAACAGAAGGTCCTGGGAGCATTCTATCGAGACCACCAGAGGGCTGCGAGAGTCATAACTGAATTCTTTGTATTCTTTGTGCCCAACCCGAATAACCAACTGTCCTTGGTTAACTACAACGGCTACATTTAGATGAAACAATGAAATCCCTGTAACCATGCTTCTGCTTCTGTAAGCCTGCTTCTTGCCACCCCAACCCTATATAAACTGCCTGAGTTTTAACCTCGGCACGCTCAGTCCCCCGAAAGACTGAAGCGTCCACAGGTACCTGTGTAAACAATAAATAACCTCTTACACTTGCATCCAGTGGTCTGGGCAAGGGCCTTCCCCCCCACAGGCTCCAAACTCTTTGGGGGGGGGGTCTCTCAAAGCAAGTCCCAGCAGACTTCCCTTCGGGATCTCGGCGAGGGATCGATCCAGAATCTCAGACAGAACAGACAGGCGGGCAGAGACACTGGCTAAGGGATGCTGTACGTGCAGCAGCTCCCCGGAGGCAGACGTTGGAGTTGGGGTGTACAGGCGCGCTCTCTCTTTCCTCCCCCCCCCCATCTCAATAGGAAATGTCCTCAGCCCGTTGTGGTCCCTATGTGCACGCCTATCGCCCCAGAACTCTGTAGGCTGAGTCAGGATCCTGATCATCAGGAGCTCAAGGTCATCCTTGACCACAGTGACTCTGAGGCAGACCTGCTTGAGGGGTAGCATGGGTAAGAGTATTGACAGCGAGCCAGACATACCTCACAGTACCTGAAGACTCCTTGCATCTGGGAGGAAAGTCACGCGGTGCCCCAGGTCTCACTGGGGTGCAAAACCACTAACAGTTCGACGGGACTGCCGACTGCCGCTTGGAAATTCCCTCGCAATCTCCTAAGCAGAGCCCCTCAAAAAAACAAAAACATTTTTAAAAGGAAGCCAGGAGTGATGCACTTAGGGGGGTGGAGCAGGATAGCCAATTAAGGCCGAGACTACCCTAGGCTCCATAGGCACTGGATTTTAATCTTGATTTTTTTTTTCTTTTTTAGTAAAATAGTATCAGGAGGGAAGTTGATCCTATACTTTGGGGCAGAGGGGAAAAATAAATAGATTAAATAGATCATACCTCTGATGTTCTAGAGAAAAGTCTGGAGTCTGGTTTTGGATGGGCTTTGCTAACAAGATGAAAGAGGAACTCACTTGTCAAGAGTGTGCTCATCTGAGCATAGAAACAATAATGGATTAGAGACTGAGTTTATAAAAGGCCAAGAGTTCATGACTTCATACTAAAAGTAAAACATGAGCTACTTAAGGAGTCAATAAACTAGACATGCCCATCACTGATTAAACTAAAATTAAAAAAGAAATTTTCTTCTACCCCATTTCTAATGAGCTTTTTTTTTTTTTTTTTTTTTTTTACAGAAGAGAGAGCTATTTATCTGCATAACATGAAGTTCATCTGACTACTAACGACATTTCTCTAGATAACTCAAATTAGATATTTTTTCAGGATATTAATGGGTGACTTTGAGGTCTTCTGGCTACAACATGAACTGAAATTAAATTAACTTATGTCATTAAAATTTTACCAGAACATTTGGCAAGAGTGTAAAGGTCATGGCTAAGAAGTGCTTAATAAGCTGGGCCATAGTGGCACACGCCTTTAATCCCAGCACTTGGGAGGCAGAGGCAGGTGGATCTCAGTGAGTTTGAGGCCAGCTTGGTCTACAGAGTGAGTTCCAGGACAGCCATGTCTGCTCAGAGAAATCCTGTCTCGAAAGCACCAGATAGAAAAAGAAAAGAAGAAGCAAAACAAAACAGATTAATAGTTGGTTCACATAGTTGGGTGTGGTGGTATTCACATTTAATCCCAGAGGCAGAGGTAGGCAGATTTCTGTGAGTTTCAGATCAGCCTGGTCTATATAGCCAGTTCTAGGCCAGCCAGAGCTACAAAGTGAGACCTTGTCTAAAAACAACATAAAACAACAGTAACAACTTACCTTATTGTTAGTACAAGCAACATTTTAGCTGTTAAAGAGAGAATATACTACAATATTAGTTGGTTTGTAACATCTTAAAGTAAGGAACTGGGGTCACACTCAATCTTGACACTTTATACTGTTTCGGACAGTTAGGGTCATGTTTTTGTTTTCCTGGAACTAAAACGTGGTTGCAAAATAGCCTTTTAATGGGAAAAGTTAATGAAGAGTTCAGTGATTACAATTCCCATGATGCATGCATTTAGTGGAATATTACACAAGAAGAGATTTTTTTTTTTTACTTTATCCAAATTCTGAACATGTGTAAAATCCAGGCAGAGCTAAATTAAATTAGGAGCACAGCACACTCCACCCTGTTATAATGGCTTCCAGTGAGACAATCCTCGGATAACGAATATACTGTGCCCCATTAGCAATCTTGATCCACTTAGGAGTATAACCACCAATTAAACTATAAATTCTTTTCCAGAAAAACCACATCTCTAAACCTTAGATGATGTTAAGTTAAAAAAACAAAATAGGTTATTGAGTCCCATCCAGACTTCGTGTTTTCCAAAACAGGGTTCACGTCAAGTTCTTTCAGGAAGTAAATGTCCCTCTCTGCGGATGAAACATATTTTGTTTTTACTACCTACCCCCCCCCACCCTCAGGCACAGAGCGAGCACTGATACTCGTCTGTAGCAACCCTGTGGTATCCAAAATTGATCCTGGCCAGAGAGTCAAAAAGAAGCTGTCACCATTTTACCGAAGAGGGCAAAAGCACAGGCCCGTCTGAGTAGCGCTGGAAGGAACAGACAGCCCCATGCAGCCAGCACCCTGTGCTGGAAAGGCAGAGATCATCTTAGTGCTTCCCAAAGGCTGAGTGCTCCTAAGGCATCCAGGCAGTTCTCACAGGCAGCTTAGCAACCTGGGACCCCTGGAGCTGTTTGTACAACCTTCTCCAAACAGAGCGGCCAGTCACTCCTAATGACCCCTAGGAACTCCCTGGAAACTCCTGGGGCCAAACCTTTGTGGTCAAGCATGTTGGAACATGTCCTCAAGTGCAGGCAGTGAGCCAACTCAGCCTGAGCTGGTTTTCAAAGCACATGTCCATTGAGTGAGCTTTGGTGGGGATCTCCTATTGGTATGCATGGTTGGACACACATATGATTAAAGAATTAGATGCAGCATGAGAAAGGGCATGTTGATCGAGCAAAGGGTCAAATGACCCAAGCTCATCACTGGAAACAAAATCACCGAGGCTTCATCCTAGGCAACCACCTAGTCGACCAGCTCCTCCCTCCTCCCCCTGGGCTACAAAATGAAGGAAACTTTGCTTGGCACCTGGTGCTTTCTCATGGAAGCGTATCTATTCTCTGCATTCACCTCGCTGTGGAGTAAGACCATTGCTAACCCTCTATTTGTGAGTGCTTTGAGTTTTTTTGAGCAAGAGAATAAGACCTTGGAACCACAGAATGCGCCCCCTGGGATACTCAGGTCAGGATGCTGAACCTCGAGAAGGAGACAGCTGTAGCTGATGGAGACCTCAGACATGCTGCTATTTATCTTCTCTGTGGTGCGTATGTGTGCACATCTCGCACGAACCTTGGCACACCTACCTTGCTGGCGTGGCTGGTCTAAACGTTGGCAGTGAGGGTCCGTCGGATCCGGCCCCATTGAGTGTGATTGCAGACAATGAATGAACGCTTTGGTAGGGCATGTCTCCCTATTTCTACCGGCTTCCTACGTCCACAAGGTTGGACATTACGGTTCTCATTTTTGTTATCCAGTGAAGCATTACTTTCCTGTCACAAGCTTTAACCTTAGGAAGCCGTCAGACTGGTGCAGCTCAGGAAACTCAATCCCGGTTATTGTATTGTCTGTTTCCACCATTCTGTAGTTTGGGTCTTGAAAGCTCCTCCAAAGGCCCAGGTGTTGGAAACCCCGGGCCTCAGCCACTGGGTGTGGTACAACTATTAGCAGGTGGGGCCGAGTGGAATTAAGTTTGGTTACCAGGTGTTTGCCTTTTCTTGGGACCCTGGCCCCTTTTTCTCTCTCTGCTTCCTGGCCATCTTGAGGTGAGCGGGCCTCTCTGCCATGATGAATTAATTCCATGATGTTCTATGCTGCCAGAGGCCCCCAAAGAGCTCACGGTATCCTTGGCTGTCCTGGAATTCACTTTGTAGATCAGGATGGCCTTTTGAACTCAGAGATATGCCACCAGATTGGAGCTGTGGCTTCAACATTTTGAAATTAAAAGAAAAAAAAAGTGTTCCAGTAAAACGCTGTATGTGTTCATGTATAACAAGGGACAAAGGAAATTGTACAAACTTGTGTTAATTTATTACAAAATGTTCACTCACAGAAAAACACAATGAAACCTTTATACTTTTATATTTGGGAATGGAACTGGTGTCTCAGATACAAAATAATTTACACATTATCCATACAATTTTTTTTCTATAGAAATAGGTCATTATTACAACAGCTGTACAATTCACTACACTTCCTCTTATAATTACATAAAATCTTCTCTTTAGAAACATCTCAACATAACAAAACATACAAAACAAAAACAAAGCAAAGTGCATTTTGAGGAGGAAAATCCAATCTTTAGAATCATCAGGGAAGATGTGTGGACAGATGCAGCGGCGGCCTCACAGGAAGGCCAGCACTTTGACTGGTTTCCTGGGGGACTGTAGCCTGCTTGGTTGTCCTGCTGTGCAACTCTCCGTGGTCTTGGAGGTATCTAGGGGATTCTGGAATGGCTGTGAGATTGTGCTTCGCTCTGAGGCATCTTTGTAGTTACTGCCAGTGAAGTCAACAGGAAGTTGTTCTGTTTAGGGAGGGCAGTGGCAACCAGTAGGGCATGGAGGTAAAGAGCCCCATCCACCAGGGTTTAAGCCAAGGGTGTGGATCTGCAGCTTCATTAATAACAGGCTTTGCTACCTGCTGGGTGGGCCGTTTCTGCTATTGTGGAGTCCCAGTGAAGCCATGAGACCTTATTATTTAAAACAAAAACAAAAAACCAGAAAGTGCCTAGGTTATTTTCCCCTGTGCGCAGCTGTGCAAATTAAAACAAAAAAAACATTCTTTTAAAAATAATGAAAATAATCTCTTTATTCTCTCTCTCTCTAAAGACCTCTCTAACTTAGTCCTTGACCATAAAGGAAAGACCATCAAGAGAGTGAAGGCCATCTAGCATCTGGGACCCTTGTTAGTCGGTAGAGTCCCTCTCCTGGAGGCAGCAAGAGGCACTGCCTCTTCAGATAGACCGGGAAACGATCGATGCCTCTTCAGATAGACCGGGAAACGATCGATGCCCATATGGGGCACATGGTTCCTGACTGCTATGGCTGTAGCGGATGCCCGAGAACCTCGGGGCAAGAAAATCATGGCCAGTATTCCTGTTCTTTCCCCGTTCTGCCAGGACCACACTCCAGACACGTTACCACGGGGAGTTCTGAAATGTGTACAGGGTGTGCCAGAGCCATGTAAACCTTCCTTCTTGTTTCCCACAGCCACCCCCCACCCTCTTCCATTGGTTAAAGCTGGCTGCCTCTGGACTCTAGCGGCAGGGCACTATCGGGGTGGCTGCTGGAGACCTGAGGGCTCTGACAGCCGGCTGACCCTGCGGGAAGGGCGTGGGGGCTGTGGCTGCGTGGGCTGGGCTGTTGCATAGCCCAGGGTCCCCGGCTGCTGGGAGAAGGTGGAGAGAAGGAGCGAGTCTGGCTGCTCACTGTGCAGAGACGTTGGCGCCTGTAGCAGATAAAAAGGAGAAAAAGGGGCTGTGTGGCTGGCCAGCCCCTCCACTCTTCAAGTCACTCCAGAGATGCTGTCAGATTCTGGGACTCCCTTCAGCTGGCATGCATGAGGACAGTACACTTCAAGTACATCAGCTCAAGGCGGGGAGGGCCAATGGTCTTGAGGCTGACTGAGGATGCAGGTAAGGTTTCTGAACCAGAGATCCGTGACCTGTATACATCCTGTGTGTGTGTGTGTGTGTGTGTGTGTGTGTGTGTGTGTGTGTGTGTGTGTGTGATGCTGCAGTCTGAGGTCCACACTGATGGTGGACAGGTAAAAAAAAATCTGCACAGACAAATGCATGTCCCTTAAGTAGGTCCCTGATCCAGTAACTACTTCAAAGGAAACTTCGTGATTGGAAACGGAGACGCTTCAACCAGTCAGCCCAACGTTGCAAGTTTCACTCCCATAAATATGCCTTTCCAATAAGCCAGTGCCCTAACATCACCCTGGAGACTTCCCAGCGTACCAGCCTCACGCTGGGCTGTCAGGGAAGCCCAACCTTTCTCCTTCTTCACTCACACTTGACATTTTCTCGATGGTCAGGTTTTTACCAGAGATGCTTCCTGGAGGAATGGCTTCCCCAGGAGGTACTCTCTCTCTCTCTCTCTCTCTCTCTCTCTCTCTCTCTCTCTCTCTCTCTCTGTGCAGTCAGAGCTGGAGGAGTGTGTGCGTGCGAGCCCACCTCTCTGCATACACTCTGGGATCCCCAGTTCATCAGCATGGCTGAAGAACTCTTTGCATCTCGGCTTCCTATCTAGAAGGCAGCAGGTATTTAACTACTGCTGCTGAAGACACACACAGATTGAGACCTTTCCCGTTCCACATCCGCGCCCCCCCCCCCCCCCCCCCCGTCTCCTTCCTCGCCTCGTTGTGTCTCCTGACAGGTTACTTCCCTATCCTGAGAGCTGACAAGATCCACGAAGCCGAAGTCGGAGTTGACACCCGCTATCACTGCGGGTACAGCTAGGGAGATTTGAAACTCCACCGCAGCGGGTTTAACAGCTTTGGAATCAGACGGTATGGTATCCCAGACCTTGAAGGGTGTTGACTCTGTCTCTGTCACACTGTTTTCAAGATGTCTCAAGCACTGCGTGTTGCCTTTTAGCCTCAAAGATGCCAAGCAGAGCAAGTGGGTGGTCCTTATTAGGGGAAGTCCCACAAGGCAGGCTGAGGGACGAGCTAGGAGGGTACCCTGGAGGCCTGTGAGGGGAGGATGGAACCCTTCGAGAGCCTCAGAAGGGACTTTGCTCCTATCTGAACCCCCCCCCCCGGGCCAGTCCACCTTCCCCCTGTGGGATGCCAATCTTTGCTTTCTCGGTAGCATCTATGTGAAATGTGCCGCCAGTTCTCACGCTAAAACTTTTTATTTCACACATTAACATACTTACTAAAGCAGTTTGGTGGATCTTTAACTAAATGTGCTTTAGTTTTATACTCCTGTGCACTAAAAAGTATGACGAAAACCACTATTGTTTTTTAACTTTTTCTAAAAATATGAGCATATCAAGACGCGAAACTGACAAACATTACCTTTAAGTAGATGTTTTCCGCTTACCACCTCACGGAGCGTACTTTCAACCTACTCTTAATTTTCACACTGTACATTAAGCATCAAAGTTAACCACATATGAACTCCTCTGAGGTTGTTCTCTGTACTAGGGAAGAAATAAGTCTTTAAAAGTCAAATGTAGAATTCAGCCTCTGCTCACTTCTAAGCCGGCTTGCGTCTTCCCCAGGCCCCGGCGCTCACTTACCTGCAGGTAGTGTGGTGGCTGCTGCTGAGCCTGTGCTGGCTGCAGCGGTGATGGCTGGGATGTGGGGAAGCTGGGGTGGAGGACGGCCTGCCCCATCAGCAGGACAGGGGTGGGGGCACTGTCGCTGGCAGGGTGCGAGTCTGGACTTGGAAACATGACCTGGCTCTGTGCGTACCTGTTTAGTTTCATGGAGGACAAATAAGAAACATCCTCTGAGAGAGAGACACTTGATACAGTACTAAGAACATCGACCACAGGGGCTGGAGAGATGGCTCGGTGGTTAGGAGCACCGGCTGCTCTTCCAGAGGACATGGGTTTGGTTCCTAGAACTCGTATGGTGGTTCACAACCACCTAGCACTCCCATTCCAGGGGCCTGAACCCTCTTTTATCTTGTACAGGTGCCACATGAGGGCAAAATACCCATATAATAAAATAAATAGATGTATCTCTAAAAAAAAAAAAACAAACAAAACAAAAAAACCCTTACTGACTGTAATAGGAAAAAAAAATGGGTGAGGCATACATCATCATAAAACTTGTACATCAGCATCGACAGAAAAGTAAGTAATTCAGTGTATGGGAGGAAAATCTCTGGTGAGGGAGTGATGTTCAGAATCTATTAAAAATGCCTACAGCTATGCCACCAACATTCTAGTAACACTCAAAGAGCCTAAACAAAGTAATGGACAAATGGCTTAAGCAGTCCTTTCTCTCCAATGAAAAGACACAAAGGCCAATCAATAAGCTACGAAAAGATACACATTGTAACTAGTCAATAAGAGGATGCCAATCAAAACTGAAATGAGCTATCAATTCACACCATTATGATGAAGCTATACGTACATATACATGATTAAACTTTGACATGCACTATAAGATGAGTAACCTTGAAGACATTCTATCTGTGTGTGTGTGTGTGTGTGTGTGTGTGTGTGTGTGTGTGCAGAATGAAGAAAAAACCCTTGTTAGTAAGGATGTGTGATGTTGGTGAAACTGTAAAACGGTACAGCCATTCTGGACAACATGGAGATGCCTCAAAAAGATGAAACATGGGATTTCTGGGTGATGGTTAAACCAAATGTGGCCTCCATGTGACCTGGTGAGGGAGAAGAGTCAGAACAAGAAAAACCAAAACAAAACAGTCTGCTCCGAAGGAGAAATTCATAGGCAGTGGGGGAAAGTATGGAGAAAGAGGTAAGTGATGCATGAGAACCATGACAAGTGGAAGCAGCTCCGAGGTAGACCAGAAACCCCATCCAAAAGTTCTTAATGTGGCCATCCCTGAAAAGACACTGGAAACCCTGCCCTCAGGACAAGCCTACAGCCCTCATAAGCCAAGGGCCAGTTACAGGTTTTGGTGAGACTGATTCCTCCAAAGTTCAATTCAGCAGTGGGGGGAGGAGTTCCATCTTGTCATTCTGTGTGATGCAGAGTGGCTGTGTCCCATTGGAGAGGGGACTTATTGCTTAAAGCCGAGGAAATCCCGGAAGCCCCCCAAATGGGGGAAATCCATAAGTCAGGGAGCCTGAGTTAACCCCTTTCTCCTCCCCTCCCCTGCCCTGCCCTCCCCTCCCCTGCCCTCCCCTCATCACCTTCTCTCTCTCCCCCCTTTCCCCCTTTCTCTTTTGTGATTTCTCTTGTTAGCTTTACTACAATTTTAGTGATAGTTTTGCCTTACTACATTAAAAACCCCTTTTATGTTTTTAATAGAATAATTAACTCATTTTTGAGAAAGGGTCCCACTATGTAGCTCTGGGTGATCTGGTACTCACTATATAGATCAGGTTGTCTACAAACTCACAGAGATCCATTTGCCTCGGCCTTCTGAGTGATGGGATTAAAGGTATGCATCAGCACACCAAGTATGTTCTTATTTATTATTCCCCTTCATACACTGACCTAACTCTCTCTCTCCCTCTCTCCCTCTCTCTCTCTCTCTCTCTCTCTCTCTCTCTCTCTCTCTCTCTCCCTCCCTCTCTCTCTCTCTCTGGTTTTTCGAGACAGGATTTCTTTGTGTAGCCTTGGCTGTCTTGGAACTCCCTTTGTAGACCAGGCTGGCCTTGAACTCAGAGATCTGCCTGCCTCTGCCTCCAGAGTGCTGGGATTAAAGGCATGTGCCACAGGGTTTTTTGTTTCTTCCATTATTGGGCTAAGTCTTTCCCTTAACCCTTTCTTCTCTTCCCTTTCTCCCATTCCCATTCCCCCCTTTGTAATGTACTTTAATATCTACACTTCATCTTACTGTTGTTGTTGAAGCTCTTATGGTTAGTATTCGGGCATCTGTACGGCCTGTCCTTGGGGTTCTGACAGGACACGCCCTCAGCTGCAGCCACTAAGAGCACCACCTGTGCACATTCACTGTGCTCCCCTTTACAAGGGCCGGCCCCTCCCACCATCCTCTGTCTGTTCCCCTCTCTCTCTCTCTCTCTCTCTCTCTCTGCCTCTTCTCTCCCGCTGCTCCTGTCCCAGGAGGCCAATCTTCCCGTCCCTTTTATAAACCCGCTCCCTAATAAAAAAGCCTCTCTTTATGAACCCTGTTGCATGGCATCGTTCTCTCGTGACACGTGCTGCTTTTCTTAAATTACAAAACTTAGTTACTTTCTTACATTTATTTGCTTTTTTCTTCAAATTTCATCATTGCTGAAAATTCATTTTTCCTTCATTTTTAAAAATAATTTCTCTCCCTCTCTCATCATCTCCCTCCACCTCTCTCCTGGTTTATTTCCTGTATTTAGCCCTCACTGCCGTCCATTTTTCTCTTTGCCCACCTTCTCTTACCATTCCTTTACTGTGTCTACACTCGCCTTGAGTTATTTTTAACCTCAGAAAACACTCCATCTTATCAGTTTTGTAAATTTTTCCGTTTTATGACGTTTGGAGTTATATCAGTGGGATTAACTGACTTTTAAACATATATAACTTCTTATATTTTATGTTTTCTATAGTCTGGTGATATTGCTATTACAGTAGTATTTTCTCCTCTCTTAAGTAGTACAGGGATTGAATCCTTAGGCGTAAGCTTCCTGGGACCAGAGAGATGAGTTAGTGGTTAAGAAAGCTTGCTGGATTTTTTTTAATTTTTAAAATTTTAATTAATTAATTAATTAATTAATTAATTAATTAATTAATTTTTCCTAGAGGACCAAAGTTCAGATCCTGGTACCCACATATGGGAGTTTAGCTGCCTGGAACTCTGGCTCCCTCTTCTGGCCTCTGTGGGCACCTGCACATATATAGTATGCATTCACACCCACACTGACTGTGTTTTTAAAAAGTGTAGGGAGACTGGAGAGATGGGTCAGTGATTAAGAGCACTGCCTGCTCTTCCAGAGGACCTAGGTTCAATTCCCAGCACGCACATGGTGGCTCACAACCATCTGTAACTCCTGTTCTGGGAGAACTAACTTCCTCTTTTTTTTGTTGTTTTTTTGTTTTTGGTTTTTTGAGACAGGGTTTCTCTGTGTCTTTGGAAGCTGTCTTGGAACTCACTCTGTAGACCAGGCTGGTCTTGAACTCACAGAGATCCACCTGCCTCTGCCTCCCGAGTGCTGGGATTACAGGTGTGCGCCACCACCGCCTGGTCCTAACTTCCTCTTTTGGCTTCCCCAGGCACTGGGCACACACATAGTGCATAGATATACACAGAGGTAAAACACTCATACACACAAAATTGAAAAAGAATAAAAAGTAGTTTTAAAAAGAGCAGGCTGTGTAGTAGGAAGACCTCTAAATAAAGCCAGGAGAGATCTCCAATCCGAGAGACAAGTCCACAGCGGCAAGAGAGAGCAGGATAAGACTCAATGGCAACAACTGCTCTGTCTCCCAGCACACTCATCACCATTCAGAAAGCTTGGGAAAACACAGACACGCCCTACTGGATTGAAAGTTACTGCAATAAGTAAAATGCTAGATGAAGCACTCAAAAGTTATGTAGTAAAAAATGAAACGACATTAAAAAAAATTCCAACAAATGAATTCAATTTAGGATCTGGACAGGAAAGCCGGCCACATGGAAAGGGGCAGCAAAACATATGATAAACTCAGCTTTATGGGAAGAACAATTAAACAAGGACATTGAGGTCTTGAAAAACAAACAAACGAACGAACTAGAAATGCACAAATTAAATGAGAAGTATAGTGAGGTGTATAATCAATGAGCTAGACCAAGTAAAAGAAGAATGGTCAGGGGTCAGGGATGGAAAAGATGGTTGTGAAAATACTGACTCAAACTTCAGTAAAGAAAAATAAAGCTGAATAAGCATGGCCATGATGTCCCCAGCTCTGGGGAGTGATGACAAGGCCAGGCCTACGAATTCAGGGCAGGACAGTAAGAAAAAATTTACAGACCAAGAGAATCTAGCTCATGGGATTATAGCAGAAAAGCTCCCAAGTCTAGAGAGCACAAGGGTCATTTAGAACCAGGGACAGAAAGGAAAAGAATCTTTCTGTGAAATAACACAGTCAAGGTGTTAAAAATAAAAAAGCAAAGAAACAATGTTAAAAGTTGAAAAGGAAAAATGCCAGCTTACATCAGAGTATCTGACCACCCATCAGGACCTTCAAAGCCAGGAAAGCACAGGACATTCTATTTCAAGTCCTGAAGCCAAATAATTTTCAACCAACATTCCTAAATTCGCCGAATCTACCTTTTTTGCATTGACGAATAATTAAGGGCATTTCAAGATAACGGCAAACTAAGGTAATTGGTGGCCACTGCATTGGTTTAAATTCTGCTGCTTTGATAAAACACCCTGACAAAGAGGAGAAAGGATTTATTTAGTTGCAGTCTATCACATAAAGGAGGTCACGGTGTCTCATCACATCCATAGTCAAGAGCACAGGGGAATAAATGCATGTGTGGTTAGTTACACACTCTCTGTCCCAACTGGAGTTTTCCACTCCCACACAGTTCAGGACTCTCTTCCTTAAGAAGACCCACAGTGGGCTGGGTCTTCTCACATCAATTAATTTAATTAGGGCAGTATCCCACAGACATGCCCACAGGCCAACCCAGTGCGGACAGTTCCGCATTGAGATAACTTCGTAAGGTTATTCTAGGTTGCGTCAAGTTGCGTAGTTAAAGCCAGCCATCACAACCCCTGAGCCAGCACCGCGAGAGACAGTAAAGGAGTGCTGTGTGCATAATCGCAACAGCAAATGAAAGAATAAGTTTT